GGACAGAGGAGCCTTGTGGGCTACAGTCCATGGGGTTGTAAAGAGTCAGACACAACTGAAGTGACTTAGCACGAATGCAAGCTTCCACAATGGTATGAGCTGATTCCTTAAACTAAAGAAATGGGTATTTCTCTGGAGAAGCCTGGCTGATTTATCAAAAGATCTGAAAAAGTGAGGGGGAGGAAGATGGGAGGCCCCCTCAGAGAGCCCCACAGGGATGGGCTGTGGCAGTCTAGGCTCAGGAGGAACTTTTCCTGGGTCCCAGAATCTTCTGAGAGCTAACCCCCCTCACACACACACACATAAGACAGTCCTAGAAAACTTCTAAGTCTCTTCACCAAAATGAGGCCACAATCTGTAGCTGAGGTTGGGTTAGCATGATGTGGACCACGTGGTTCTGCAGCCCTGCACATCACTGACACACAGAGACACAGCTGGTGGGAGAAACAGAAGCTAAGAGACACAGCAGGAAGGGCGGCCCCACGATGCCAGGGCCGGGAAGCCGGGAGTGGGGCCTGGGGTGGGCAGAGGACGGGGAGCCGGGGACGCTCAGGGGGCAGCCACTCCCGGGGAGCGCAGGGCTCAGGGAAGAGCTTCCGCGGAGACGCTGGGTGATGATGGCGGGTCTCTGGGAAGCCCCACTGACCAGCGGCCCTGTGGTTTCCGTTGCTTCCTTCCTCCCATGGTCCATCAGAAGAGACCTCCACTCCCGAGCCCCTCTAAGCAGAGTGGACAAAGCTCCCGTTTCTAAGTTCTTACCTCTCGCCGGAAGCTGCTGGGTAAAATAAATGAGGTGATAAAGGTAGCTCACTGGAACCGCCGTCTACACAAGCTTGGAGCTGGGTTACCTCTCCTTTAGCAGTTTTCCCTCCACAAGACAAGACAGGCTGAGGATATAGAAAGAGGGTGAGAAAGAGGAGGGGAGGGAAAGGGAGGGAAGCAAAAGGAGCCAGAGCTTCAGAAACCTTCACAGAACCTGCATCACTGCCCCTGAAACATGCAGGAAAATAACAGGAAAGCTCGAAGGGACTGGGATCTTCAGCAGGAACTAAAGCAAGGAGCATCGTCCTTGAACGTGCAGCTCCAGGAGAGAACAGGAATCTTGCCGAGGTGAGGGGAGTTGTTTACCTGAGTGTATTCAAGGTTACAATATTATCTATATTTGACATATGTGGGGGGGGGGGTACTTTTATTTTTGTATTACAAGCTTCAAGAAAGCCTGGATCAAATCTTAGCTGAAGACAATGAGCAGCAAGTTGAATGAATCCCAAGCAGGCATCCCTAAGAATCTCTGGGTGGAATGGGGGAGGATGTAAGTGTGGGGCTTTCATGTTAATCAAAAGGGACAGAATCTGAAAGAACGGAAGTCCACTCAATACTCTGTAATATCCTGTATGGGAAAAGAATCTAGAAAAGAGGGGATATATATAAACATGTACATATATATATATATATAACCAATTCACTTTGCTGCACACCTGAGGCTAGCATAACCTTGTAAATCAACTATACTCCAATAAAAAAATTGAAAAGTAAAAAAACTGAACATTGAAAAAAAAAAAAAACTGTTGGGGGGACACACAGTTTTTTCTCCAAGGCTCCAGAGTAACTAGAAAAAGAAAGGCTAACCCTGGGAGGTGGAGTGTGTGCAAGTCTTTGACCACTAGAGGGCGGCAACAGCAAGTCCCATCCTGCTCCCAGAAGTCTCAAGGTGGACAGCTTTGCTTTCACAAATGGTCCTTCTAGACACCCTGCCAGGGACTCCAGGTGTTTTTTGTTGTTTTTTTTTTTTTTTAAGAGAGAGAGAGAAAACAAATCCAAATCCAAAAAAGAAATGCAAGTTAGTCAAAATGTGCACGTGGAGATGGCAACTCTCACCCCATCTCCCTTGTCGTCAGAACTGGGGTTCTGCCCATCACCTCCCCTCACCTCCCCCCCACCCCCACCCCCTGCCCCACAACCACATCTTTCAGAGCAATACTCTGCAAATATTTCTTGGTGAAAACTTACTATGTTTGTGTATGCCAACCAATTTTTTTAAAGATGTACAAATAATTAGTCCTATTTTTATTATTAGATGCAACAAACATAAAATTGCATTTCAATAAACACAATAAGAACAAACCACACAAAATAAAAAGGAAAATAAACTGCATGCATTGTCCATTAGAGGTGAGCTTACAGGCACTGAATACAGACAATCGCTGTTCTGTTTGGTCTTTCTGTCTTTTCTTAATGGATACTTAACAGAAATTACATGTGTAACACTGATTACCCCCATAGGAAAGGCCTGTGAACATGCTGAGAGAACACTTTCCTCAAGTTTGCTGTTTGTTAGTGAATCCAAACCAGGGTGGTGATGCTGCCACCTGCAGGCAATACTATGTATAATATCTAAATTATTTCTGCGCTTTGCTTCAGTGACTCTTAATGAGGCAAAACAATCTCACCTAAATAGCCACAGAAATGAAAGAAGGAATGTTAAAAATAAACTCTTCAACTAACTCAGAATCTTTTTTTAGCTTTTATACAAAATGAAGAAAATGACTCTGTTGTTTTTAGATTTTTGTCTTCATCCCTTCCTCAATTCCAACAAGCAGTGGTTTCATGCAGATTATTCTTCCATGAAAGAAACGGACTCTGGGTCTGCACTTCCTACATACGGATTTTATTTGAAGGAATTTAGAATTTGAACACTCTACCTTCGTTGGAAACTGTTCAGTGATCACTGTTTGCTGCTGGGCAGGTAACTTTTGGCACATGCCGTCAGGGTCTGCAGAATTCTGTTTTGCAAGTGTCTAACTTTCCTCTCTGCCCTTTGGTCTCATGACTTTATCACCTGAAAGTGTTAAGGTCATTGAGAACATTGCCTGAACCAGGAATAAGCAGTTCTGGATGGTTAATGGGCAGTTTTAAAATATGGTGACTAAATTTGTTTTTAACTCAGAGAAAAGTGAAGTGTTTCACTGGTTAAACATTTTCAACAGAACTTTTCCTGTGTTTCACATGCAATAACTCATATAGATATAGAGCATAACATGCTGTTCATGATCTTTGAGATTCTCAGATTGTAAAAATCATCATCTCAGATTTACCACACTGGTCTTGACGAGGCTACATCTCTAGTGAAATAATGTAGATTTTCCTGAAGGGAGAGGGGACCCCACCTCCTTTCAGAGAGGAGGAAGGAGCGGGTCCTTCTGCCGCTTCAGACAGGCCAGCATCACCTCTCAGGGAGCTGAAAGGGAGAATGTGACTCTTGGCCATTGAGGAAAGAGGAATCATTCATTTAATGTAAGAAAAATGCCGTTATTAACTCTGAAAAGCGATGTCAGGTTGACTTGTTTCTCTAATCTGGTATGAGGATCATATTATAAGCAAATATACATGTTTCCAGAGCACATGGAAGATTTCTTCACTGAATAACCTTTCTTGGAAGCTTCTAGATTCCTGCTCTGTCTTCTTTCCTTCTTTAACAAGAAAATTTCAAACTATATAATTATTTTGCTTTCTACCAGCTGGCATAAAATCCATAAGACATGTTTTCTGGATCTGGTTTTTATTTATTTATTTTTTTGGCTAAGCAAAGTTTTCTAAATCACTTAGTTTATTTGACTTTGACGTGGCCTTTTAAACGATCAGCAAGTCTGAGATCTGCTGGCAAGTCCTTCACCTGAAGGTGGAGAAGTAGCAGAGCTGTTTCTGAAACCGTGTTCTTGCTCCTGAAACACTTTTTGTTCAGTGACCAACTCTCAGGTGCAACGCAGGAGCTTAGAAAACACTGGCTGAATTGTACCGGAAATATTCAAGGGATAACAGTCTGGACAGTTTTCTTTCTACCTCTTATAAAATGGATGGGTGCACGTCTATGTGGTGTGTGTGTGTGCACATGCAGGCATGTGTGTGCACCTGTGTGTACCCCCCGTGGGAGTGCGTGCCTCACTGGGAACTAGCAACGAGACAGCTCTTGCCCGCAGGCGCGCACAGAGCCACTGCCTCATCCTGTGCAGGCCTCAGGCTCCCTCCTCAGACACTTTCCCCCACCCGCCCTCTGAACTACCCCCTTCATCCTTTCTGCCGCCTCCTTTTCCTCACACGCTGATTCGTTCATACAAACACTCATACACGTGTGTGTACTGTTTGTGTTTGCTGTCCATCTTCCCCCTCATCCACTGAAGTGAAAGTTCTAGCATCAAGGACCCCGCAGTCCTTGAATCGCCCGAGTTGAATCAGAGAGAGTCAGCCCCTGTCCATACAGCGGGCCCTGCGGGGGTGTCCCCAGCTGGGCCGCAGCCCATGACCACAGCCTCAGCCCCTTTGCACGCCTGGTCCTGGGGGTGTGAGAGGCCTCACTCCTGGGAGTCTGAGAAGACCCCCGCCCATCTTCCTAGAGTCACAGTCTCCAGACTGCAGACCCCAAATCTCACAGGAGTTCCCCACGTGGGCAGGCTGCCTCGGGCCCACACGTGAAGGCATGGGGTGACGGTGCCCGTGGACAGACCAGCATGTCGACCACGGCTGACCCGGGAGCAAGGAGGGGCCCAGACACACTGGAGACCATCAGAAGGTGTATGTGTGTATAACTGAATCACTTTGCTGTTGACTGTAACTAACACAACATTGTAAATCAACTATACTGCAATTTTTTAAATGCATTAAAAAAATGTTTTAAAAAGAATCACGACCAATCTTGTGTGTTCAAAGTGCTCTGAAGCACGATTTGGTCTATCTGACCGGGACTGATACGGCTCCCCTCGTGGCCCTGGTGGTTCCGCGGGCTGCTGCGGGCACAGGGGTGGGCGTCTCCGCGTCGCACCAGGGCCGGGGAGGGGCTCAGTCAGGCATCCACAGCCGGGACCGCCTCTCGGAAGGGTCCCCGAAACCAGCTCCGCCCCACGGGGTCTGGCTTGATCCTCAGTCAGTGGGGCTCAGAGCAGGTGCTCCCGGCACCCCCTCCCCCTCCCGCACCTCTGCCCCAGGTCTCATGCTCCAAGGTGTGATCAACGCCTGACGCAAACAACTCCTGCCTCCGGGAAGCGGCCGGCCACGCGGCCCGCGAGGCGGACGTGCCCTGGAGACTGGCAGACAAGGACGGGACCTAGCCGGCTGCGGCCAAGGTCAGGCGCCAGGGAGAGAACAGGGGCAAGTGCGCGGAATTCCAGGGCACGTGCCACCCCCGACCACCACGTGAGCTCCGCTAACCGAATAATCAGGATGCAAACCTGCCGCAGGAACGCAGGGAGGATTTCTCCCAGGCCTGTCCCTCCAAACCCCTGCCCTTTCTCAGAAACAAATACTGCTTCCATTTGGTGACTTTCTGTTAGTCTCCGGGCTTTCCCTATTTACATATGTGGATGTGCACACATGTAAGCTTTCTTTATCTTTTACCCACACAAATGTGTAAATCTGCAGTTTCTCCCTGATAAGACCCTGATCCGTGCTTTCTCAGGCAAAGAGTGTTAGTGATCACCGTCCCCCAGAAAGCAGTGAGGGATGCAGGCCCTCCTGACCTGGCCCCAAACTATAAACAAGGCCTTGAGTCTGTTTTCAGACTCAGCAGAGCAGAATGGAAATAGCTACCGTGGACCCACGTGAAGAGGTAAACAGAGATAAGCTCAAAATTGTTGAAAAGATGAGTTTATTCAGGAACAGCAGTAATTGCATCAGGGCACACAATTGGTAGAGTGATAAGCAGGTCAGTAAAGGGAAGGTGAAGAAGGGAGAGTCCAGCTACAGTCTATTAAAATAAAAATCAATTTTAAAAAATACACACACCAGCCCTGTAAGTCACCTGAGCAGACAAAACCAGCCCAGGCAGCAAACAACTAGGCTGATATGAGGCAACCTCTGATAACAACCCAAATTTAAGAAAACTGTAATATTATCACTTTTCTGTAAACCGGGCATTTACAGAAACTCTGTTTCTTAGTCCTGAAGTTTTATTTTTCTGCGGGCACATGCATGAGATTTTCCATTTTATATCTTCCGGTTCTATTTCAGATTGAAATCCTTTCACAAACGTGGGCTGCATTATTTAGAGAGGGGCCATCGTTGGGGTGCCAAGAGGTTGGGGAGCTCTCAGGAGTTGAGTCCAGGGAGTTCTGGGACTGTCCTAGGACACAGAGAGTTAACGGAGGTGCAGACAGGTGTATTAGTCAGGATGGCTGCTGTAATCAAACACCCAGGCTGGGAGCTTGAAGGACAGAAGCTCCTGTCTCGTGGTTCTGGAGGCGGCCTTCTCACTGTGTGCTCATGTGGCAAAGAGAGCAATGAATCTCTTCCTCTGCTTATAAGACTACCCGTTCTACAGGGATGGGGCCTTGTGAACTTCTTTCAGCTTTAATTACCTCCTTAAAGGCCCCACCTCCAAACACAGGGCTTCAACATGGGAATCTGGGGGACACCATTCAGTCAGTCCATGGCAGCACTCATTTCATTCATTTCCTCCAGCGACTGGTCATCTATACCAGACACCAGACCCTCCTGGGAGGGGAGATGATGGGGGTCTCCATGCGGCCCCTCCCTCAGACCTCACTGACATCGGGGGACGCAGCCAGCATGCCAAGGACTCAATAGGAAGGAGGCTGTAAAAGGGGCAGCCCAGAAGTACCAGCCACTTTTAGGACAAAGGGAGGTCAGGGAGGACTTCTCAGAGAAGGTGGCTGGGAAACAAGAGAGAGGCTCCCCCACAGGAGCCGCCAGTCCCCCAGGAGCAGAGCACCTTCACTCCTTCAGCGCTCAGCACATGGTGGTTAGGTCATAAATATCATTGAAATGCAATCAAGTACATCTCTGATGCAGAGTGCTCCATGCTCAGTATTCATGCAGGGCACGTGGGCTGGCCTGGGGCCTGTGAGCCATCAGTGAAAGTGGCTGCTCTTACTCTCAGGAGCGCAGCACACATCAGGTGCACTGCTGATCCCTCCCCTGATCTGTGTAAACACCACAGACGCCGGCTGTCCCGACCTGATAGGCTCTGTCTGAATCTCCCTGCTTCACAGATGGGGCAAGTCCAGCCAAGAGGTTGTCCCGGCCACGGTGCCAGGCCCTGCAGCTCCACAGAGGAAGCGGGAGGGAGACGCAAGGGCTGGGCCTCCCGGGAGCCTGGAGCCCTGCTGCTGAAGAGGAAGGGAACCACCGGCTGGAGGCTCACGTCTCTGTCCGCTTCCTTCTCGTCCAGTCACCTCCCCCATCTTTACGATCCCAGCTTCCCACCTTCAGTCACATTCTGGGCTCAAATTTTGCATCTCAGGAAACCCAAACTGAGACACTCCTTCAGCAGAAATGTTTATGCAACACACCACCATTTCCCTGAATCACCTCCTCCTACTGGTTATGGTACCTTGGTCCGGGGCATCACCTTTTACCTGGATGGAGCCAGGGATCTAGCTTAATCTGTCTCCTTCCGTGTCTGGGGAACTTTTCCTTCTTAACATCCCTTCAATCCACGTCTCCTTTCTTCCCCCCTTCACGACCTTAGTTAGGACCCTCATTGCTCCACCAGCTCCTCCCTTGTCTTCCCAAGTCCAGTCTTGCCTTTCTCCACCCACACTTCCCTGAGATGGTTTCTAACAGGGCAACTGGCTTGTGTATTTCTCCTGATTCAAATCTTCCAAGATCTCCCTATCGCCTAAGGAGGAAACCAAAGCCAAACTCACACACGCTCCCTCAGAAACCGGCCTTGTTCCGGGGTCCTCGCTCGCTGCCAATCAGAGCACCTAGCGAGTGCCATGGTGACGGCTCGTCTGCTCTTCCATCTCCTCAGCTAGACTTTTGCAGGAAACCAACATAAATCTGTTCCTCACTGCACCCCAAGACTCTAAACATCACCGAGCACATAACAGGAACCAAACATACACACTTCAATCAGTGAGTGAAAGGATAAATGAATACGATGAACTCTGTTCCTTCCCCTAAATTTTGCTGTGCACTTAAAACTGCTCTGAAAAATTTGTCTTGACCAAAAAAAAAAAAAGTTTAAGTGACAGAAGAAGCTCATAGATTATAAAAGATTTGAGAGAACATTTTGATTTAAAAAAAGCAACACGGGCCAGAAACTAGAAAGCCTAGTATTAGTCAACCTTGGGGCGGAAGAAAATTCCATCCCTAAAGGCTGGAGGAAAGGCAACAAACAGCCTGGCTTTTGTGAGGGAGGAGGGTGAAGTCTGGGGCACCGCGTGGAGAGCGCAGCTCAGCTAAAGGCCTGACACGGGCTGCCACCCGGGCGGCCCCCTGGCTCAGTGCCCCCGGGGCCACCTCTCCGGCTCCCCGAGCCTCTGGCGGGAGGGGTTCCAGCGTGTACTCCTGTCCCAGAAACTCCCTCTGAGCGGCTCCACGGGGACCCAGAGCAGAGCAGGCAGGAGGAGCCGCCTCCAGGCCTGCAGGCCGAGCTCCAGATCCAGCTGCAGCTGGAGGGAGACGCGCGTCCACGTGACTCCCCGACGACTCAGAGCTTGACGAGAAGGGTTGTTTATTAGAATCTCCCCATGGCGTTGGACGCCGCCCTTCACTTCGGTGTGTGTGGTTGTGCAATCCTCCAGCCCTATAAAGGCGGTGACCCTGCCGCCTCTGGAGCCCGGCCTCCCCTGAGCCTCCCTCCCCGGGCTTCCGGCCGCCTGCGGCCACCATTAGGGTCCTCCACCTGCTGCTGCTGGCCCTCGGCCTGCTCCTCTCCCAGCTGGGCCCAGTGATGTTGGAGCCCAAGAAAATGAAGTCTGTCCCTGTTTCCACTTTGTACATCCATTTCAGATTTATAACCTGGCATGCTCTACGCTCTTTATGTTTTTCCGTTACTTCCTTTTTTCTGTTGGTTGCTAATATACAGAAGTAAAATTCTTTTTTTTTTCTTTTTTCATTTTGTATATTGATCTTATATATAGCAAGTTTGCTAAATTTGCCTGTTAATTCCATTTGGTCTGCCTACATATAATCATAATATCTGCAAACAGAGATAGTTTAATTTCTTTCTTTCCAACTCTTGTACCTTTTGTTTATTTGTTTCTTATCTTATTCCCCTGGCTAGTACCTCAAGTACAATGTGGAATGATAATGATAATAGCAGTTATGCTCGTCTGATTGCCAATTTCATGGAATGTTTTCGGTGCTTGACCATTAAGTGTACACTGTGGTGTAGGCTTCTGTAAGTACTCTTTATCAGATTAAGGAAGTTCCCTCCATTTCTTTATTTGCTAGGAGTTCTTTTTTTTTCTTTAATCATGAATCAATGTTGAATTTTTTTCAATATTTTTCTGCATCTGTTGATATAATCACAGACTAATTAGATAATTAGCACAAGCTGGAACAAAGATTTCAAGGAGAAGTATCAATAGCCTCAGATATGCAGACGACACCACCCTTATGGCAGAAAGCAAAGAGGAACTAAAGAGTCTCTTGATGAAAGTGAAACAGGAGAGTGAAAAAGCTGGCTTAAAACTCAACATTCAGAAAACAAAGATCATGGCATCCAGACCCATCACTTTCATGGCAAATAGATGGGGAAACAGTGGAAACTGTGGCTGACTTTATTTTGGGGGGCTCCAAAATCACTGCAGATGGTGACTGCAGGCATGAAATTAAAAGATGCTTTCTCCTTGGAAGAAAAGCTATAACCAACCTAGACAGCATATTTAAAAAAAAAAAAAGACATTACTTTAATGACAAATGTCTGTCTAGTTAAAGCTATGGTTTTTCCAGTGGTCATGTATGGATGTGCGAGTTGGACCATAAAGAAAGCCTAGCATTGAAGAATTGATGCTTTTGAACTGTGGTGTTGGAGAAGACTCTTCAGAGTCCTTTGGACTGCAAGATCAAACCAGTCAATCCTAAAGGAAATCAGTCCTGAATATTCATTGGAAGGACTGATGCTGAAACTGATGTTCCAATATTTTGGCCACCTGATGTAAATAACTGACTCATTGGACAAGCCACTGATGCTGGGAAAGACTGAAGGCAAGAGAAGAAGGGGACAACAGAGGATGAGATGGTTGGATGGCATCACCGACTTGTTGGACATGAGTTTGAACAAGCTCCAGGAGTTGATGATGGACATGGAAGCCTAGTGTGCTGCAGTCCATGGGGTTGCGAAGAGTTGAACATGACTGAGTGACTGAACTGAACTGAATTAGATAATTACATCTGATCTCTCTGGCCCTCAATTTCCCTGTCTATAAGTTAGGGAAAAGTGATACATTTCTTGGAGGATTAAGTGCAAGCATAATGGGATGGACTTATACACATTGCTGTATTTAAAATGGATAACCAACAAGGACCTACTGAATAGCACGTGGAATTTGGCTCAGTGTTATGTGGCAGCCTGATGGGAGGGGAATGTGGAGAAGAATGATATATGTATATGTATGACTGAGTCCCTTTGCTGTCCACGTGAAACTTTCACAACATTGTTAATCATCTGTACTCCAATATATAATTAAAAGTTTAGATTTAAAATATACAATCATAAATGTGTTAGTTTCCCACCAAAGGAAAGATGACCAGCCTCAGAATCTTGAAAATGAATGAGATCATATAATCTAGTCTCCTCAATTTTAAACCTGAGAAGTGGGGTTCAGAATGTTTGAGTGCTTTGCTAAAAATCACACAAGCTCATTCTAGAACAAGAAACATAACCAAAGCACTCTGATGAGATATGTTGCTATTCCTTTTGAGCCCTATCATGTAGTAGATCTTCCAAGATAATGCCAAAAAATGAGGGTTCGCTAAGGGTAGAGACACCATAACCCACCAGCATGGGGGGGGGGGGCTCTTCAGATGTGTGTGTTTCATGAGCACACACATCTCGGTGTGAAGCTCTTGCAAGGGAAACCCCTGTGATGTGCTTTGCAAAGGGCTGTCTGTCCTGCTTTCCCCGGAAATCCCTGTGGCCACAAGCCAGGAGTCTGACACGCTTGCTTTTCCCTTCTCACAGGTGCCTGCCATCTTACGGCTCTCGGCCAGCGGACTGACAGCTACATATGTGCCAGGAAAGGGGGGACCTGCAACCTGTCGCCCTGCCCACTCTACAACAGGATTGAAGGCACCTGCTACAAGGGCAAAGCCAAGTGCTGCATCCATTGACTCTGAGCTGGGAGTGATGGCAGAGGGGATGAGGAGCCATGTGAAGTATTTGTAACCATTGTTTTAATAAAAGGATTTTGTGAGGCATACGTCCTTGAGCCCAGAATGAGTCTTGTGTCTCCTTTTGGAAGAGGTTAAAAAAGTTTGAAGTTTGAAAGGGCAGACAGGCCAGGCAGCAAAACCCACCGAGTACGGGACTGGGGGATGCTGACGAGGCCGTGAGCCATGCCACCTCCACTCTGATTTATCACCAAATCTACAGGTGAGCGATGCAGGGGGTCCAGGTGAGACCGAGAGCACGTGATAAATGACACAGCCTCAGGCCCCCCTCATTCGTAGCAGAAGCTCATCCCAGACCCAGCAATCTCAGCAGCCTGTCCATCTGCTGAGCCCAGGACTGCTGCCCCTTCTCCTCCCTGGGCCGGGACAGTGGGTTGTGGGTTGGTTAACCTTAGTATTTGAGAACTTTCATTAGGACCATAAAACTATCCCAAGTAAGGAGGCCTAATAGCTGGTTTTGGAGGACCATTTCTAACTCCAGCACAGTCACATGATCTACTTACACATCACTTACAGAAGCTTTCTCCAGGACCACTGCCCCTTTTGTCATTTCTGCACCACGAGGCCTGCAGACACCCACTGATGGGAGAGAGGGTTGCCTTCCCTTTTTTCCCATAAATTTCTTACAATTCCTGATGATACACATGCTGTCCTCTCCTTCATCTGGCAAGAGCAAGTCCACATTCCACTTCAATCAATCACAATCACACATAAAAATCAAGGAGTATAAAAACGTGGGGGAATTCCCTGGTGGTCCACAGGTTAGGGGAATGGGTAGTATCAACTAAGTCCTTGTGGTTTATGACACAACAGATAGTGTTTAAAGTTGATAAGTGAAAATAAGAGGGGTGAGCATGTCATTCAGAGAAGGAGCAGAGCTGAACATGAAAAACAGTGAAAGGCAGCAGCTTCCGGTTATAAGTACTTTTGAAGAATTTCGTTTTCACAAAATACATGTATATTTGTGTAAAATGTATGCAGAGTATAGAACATATATTTTGAAGATGCAAGAGATGATTGTTGTCCAATGGAAAAGCCAAAGTCATCTAAACACACCATGACCAGTGCCCCTCCTCAGAGCAGTATCTACGAGATTTGCATCTGTGTTGTTTCCCGCATTGACATTTTGTCTGTTGTTTTCCTGCATTGACATTTTGCCGAAGAAGGGCCTATTCCTAGGAGGTAGGAGCTGAAGTACTTAGCGCTGGCTGAAATGTCACAAAGCTGGCAACTTCCTCTGTAATCGCTCAAAGCAAATTAAACTTGCAAAGCGATTACAACTGGGGGATCCAGAGGGAGGGTGTACGGTATGCACTGTACTAATCTTGCCTGTGTGTCCATCTGAAGCTTCTCAAGATGAAAGTCAGGTTGGGGGGAGGATGAAAAACATCATCAGAACCAAGATTTTTGACGTAAGGGAAGATTCATATAAAATTAAAAGGTTATATGAAAATCCTATAGTCTTAAATTTGAATTGGATGTATCAGTATAAAATCCTGACTTTTCATCTCTTAACAAGTATATATGTCTCAGCCCCACCCCTACAAATGCAGAGACAATGAAGTAGCAATGAGCACCCCTAGCATACAGGCCATGGGTCATTACATTTCCCACTAGAAAGAACCAGGACGTCTTATAGAAACAGCAGTTTCCAAGTATGGAGCATGAGATGGACAAGATGAGTCTGGCGTATCTCCTTGTGCTAGATAGTAGAGAAGCTACCAAAGGCTGGTGAATGTCCAGAGAACACTGGTTCCAATCTGAGGGGGACTCCCTAGGCTAGGATGGAGCATTTTCCATCCTGGCAGAGAATTATGACTACAACTGGTTAAATATATAAAATATATAAACACATTAAATACACAGAAATATAACAGTAAATTATATTTTAAACACAAAATATAGAAAAATCCATGAGGTCATACTGATACTTAAAAAAAAATAATATTACTTATACTTGGGGTTTGTTAAGGTTCCAACTTATCACTCTGGAAATCGGTATATAGGAGAAAAGATCAAGCATTTATTCTGCCCTTTTTGTAGAAACTGTATTTAGCCACTATGAGTGAAATATTTATAGAAAATTTCCAGCTAATTAATGAAGAATGGATAATAGAATTGGAAAATCACCATTTTGCACCCCTGAGTGAAACCATAGAACTAAAACAATGTCAATGGATGGCTTTAAAATTTCTGTTGGAAAGCTTGGCCGGGAACTTGATGATAGAGAATTAAGGCTGACACCAACTAAACTCAATGATCAACCTTGTCCTCATTGTAAGCGATAGGACCAGAGGTTCATGGACCTCCTATTGTGATTCAGAAAAGGGCACAACACCACCCAAGAAATATTCTGGCCAAAAGCTTGTCCGCTGAAAAAAAATGCACAACCTAAAAGTTAAGAGTTATGTTTATTCAGCGGGCATTTTTAGGGAGACAGCCTCTCATATAAAACTGTTTGGAAGAGGAAATGGGGAACCCAGCATATATGCCAGGATAGACAGGAGTTTTTGCAATAACAATGTGTACTCAGAACAAAAGGTTATTGTTAATAAAACAAAAACAGATACCCCCAGTTAAGGAATTTAGCACTTTTCTATGTATGGGAAAATGCAAGAGTTTGGGCTCACTGAAATCTTTCCTCAGCTCTCTGGGGCCAGGATCCCATGTTTTCTCATCCTGAGTTTCCTCAAGCTGCACCATGGTGGGTGGGTGCAGTCTGATGGCTACTAGATAGTGGGTATTTCTTGTTTCCTTCCCTGAGTTCCCTCAGGGCTCACCGGCAATTGAACCTGAAACTAATGAAGTTTCTACAGCTAACTAACAATTTACAGGAAATGCAAAAGTTAGAGAAACAAGTAAAACAACCGCTCAAGGAAGCAATAAATCAAACTCAGGACAGGAGATTCTAGGTAGGAAAAACAAACTAGTTTTTTTACCAACCCAATGGCCTGAGGAGAAAGAAGGAGTATGACTATAGAGAGAAAAGAGGCAAAACAACCAACGGGTGGGCCTTTTTTGGATTCTGTATCAAAGAGACCCAATTGCAAGAAAACTTGTTGAGAGGGCCAGATACGTTTGAATATGGACTGGGTAATATCAGAGGCTTCTTATTGACTTGATTAGGGTGCCAGCAATGTGGCAGTTATGCTGGAGGAGAAAGGGCCTCATCAGCTAAAGAAGCTCACTGAAGGGCTAAGCAGTGAAATGACATGGTACCCTGGATTTGCTTCAAAACACTCTAGCAAAAAGAAAAAGAAAGGGAAAATGCTCTGTGGTGACCTCAGTAGGAAAGAAATCCAAGAAAGAAGGGACACATGTATTCATGCAGCTGACTCACTTCGCTGCAAGCAGAGACTAACACACGTTGTAAAGCCACTACAGTCCAATTAAAAAATAAATGAATACAGAAATAAAAATTCAAGAGTAAACACTTCCCATTTCAGTCAAAAAAAGAAAGAAAAGGAAGAGTGAAATAAAGACATGAAAAGTACAGAGCTGAAAAAAGATTTGCAAAATATTGAGAAATACCAAGAAGCGAGGAAATATGAATATGATGATTCATTATACGTTTGTGTATTTGACATTTGTCAGATGTGAGAGTTTAAAAAAAGAAGAAAAGGAAAGAAAGGAGAAACGAGAGGAGGGAGAGAAAGAGAAAAGTCATGAGTTTTAGTGATGCTACAAAGGTTATTCTTTTGTCTTTAAGTAACATCACGACTGGGCATTCGCCGTAAGAAAGGAAGCAGCCACGGAGGGCTTTACAAGCCCCTTCAGCCGCAGGGTCACCTCCGCCCCCCAGCCCTGTCCCTCAGGCGCCGTCGTGTGAGGAGGACGCCCCCCCACCCCGCCAGCCCTGTCCCTGAGGCGCCGTCATGTGAGGAGGAAGCCCCCCACCCCAGCCCTGTCCCTCAGGCGCCGTCGTGTGAGGAGGACGCCCTGAGCTCCAGGCTCCGCCCCCGCCCGCCGGGTCCGTCCGGGAACAGGTCCGGGCGCGCCGGTCTTACAGGAGCGAGCGCAGGTCTGCTCGCGGAGCCTGCTCCCCGGAACCAAGTCGTCCCTGTGGGTTTGGGTGTGAGTCTCCGAGTCCTCTCCTGCTCTCTGCTCTTCCCAGTGAACAGCCCGGCTCCACTGGACTAAGAAGAGGAGCAGGAGCTCAGCGCTGCGGGGAAGCGCGCGCTGTGTCGGCCTCGCGCCCGGGCGTCCGTCCGTCCGTCCGTCCCCGCGGCTCCGCGCGCACTCCGCCCGGACCTCCGTGTACAGCGCCCGCCTCTCGCACTTTTCAAAGCAGAACCACAGGCCTCACGTTCCGCCTGGCGCTCACTCCGCCCTGTCAGTGAGCACCTGCGTCTCACAGTTAACAGTACGTCTGTCCAGGCTTTTCGCAGACTCGCGTTCAAGAAGAGTCCGGTCCCGCCTGACGTCCGAAACGTGGACCCGCCCGGTCCCTTCTCCGGCGCCGCCTCGTGGCGCGCACGGCAAGGCGGGCTCCAGGGCCGCCGGCACCTTCCGGTCCCGGACCTCCTCAGTAGCTCAAAGCCGGCGCTTTGACTGTGAGTCTCCGTATTCCAACTTGCCAAAACCTCTTCCTCGCCTCTTGTAGTTCAGGACCTCGAGGAAGCATTTCAGACGACTGAGGAACTTGATGGGTTCCCAGAGGTCAGATCTAACGGCCACAGACTTGTCTGGACCGCGGTTCTGCCGTCAGGGAGGTCTCCGGGGGGTGTGGTCGTGGGGCGCGTTTCTGTTGAACACGAGGAGATCCGAGCCTCCCCTCGTGGTGGCCCCGCAGGGACCGGTCCCCTGGAACAAGGGCCGAGGGCTGAGGCTGCTCCGGGCGGGACCGCCTGCCTCTCTGGACGGAGCTAAGCGCAGAGATTAGACAGACCAGCAGAAACGCGGTATCCTGGGTGGGGGTGTGGGAAGCCCCTCTCCCGCTGGCCTTTGGCAGCGGTCGCAGGGAGGAGTGGTGAGATGCTGTAGGAGAAGCAACAAGGCCTGAGGCTCGCAGCCTTAGGCAGTTGGAGCCCACGATTTTCTTAGAGCTGTGTCCCAGCATTGATGTGGGCGCGAAGCTGAGTCCCGCCCTGGCTGAAGGTGAGTCACTTTCCCTGAAGGAAACCCGGGGATTCAGCCTCTGGTCCGGGAATTCCGACATGCCAAGGAGCAACTAAGCCTGTGCACCGCGACTACTTAGCCTATCCCGGAGAGCCCAGGAGCTGCAAATACCAAACCCGAGCACCTAGAGCCTATGCTCTGCAACAATAGAAGCCACCGGGAGGAGTAGCGGTGGCACTATGACGAGAGTAGCCCCCACTCGCCACAACTAGAGAAAAGCCTGGGCAGCAACCAAGACCCGGCACAGTGAAAAATAAATAAATAAATGAATGTCTTTTTTAATGGGCAGAAGATCTGAATAGACATTTTCATAAAGAGAAAATACACATGGCCACATAAAAAGATACTCAACACCTCTAATCATCAGAGAAATGCAAATCAAATCCACAATGAGCTGTGACCTCGCACTTGTCTCAATGCCGTCACAAAAAGTTCTACAACTGGCAAAGGTTGTCCAGCATATAGAGAAAAGGGAACCCTAACACACTGTTGGTGGGAATGCAGTTTGGTGCAGCCACTATGGAAAAGAGTACTGACGGTCCTAAAAGTGAAAAATAGAACTACTGTATGATCCAACAACCCCTCTCCTGGGTGTGCAGCTCAAGAAAACAAAAATGCTATTTTGAAAAGATACATGCACCCAATGTCCATAAGTACTTTGTTTACAGAAGTCAAGATATGGAAGCTACCTACATCTCCATCAACAGAGTAAATAACAAATGATGTATATACACAATGGAATATCACTTTGCTGTAAAAAAGAAACCTTGCCATTTACAACAATATGGACAGACTTGCAGGGTCTTATGATTAGAGAAATGTCAAACACAAAAAGACAAATACTGTATGCTATCACTTATATGTGAAACCTAAAAAAAAAAAAAGAAACAAATGGAATAAGAAATAGACTCACAGAGAAGAAAGCCGTGCTTACCAGAGGGAAGAGGGGAGGGGCAAATGGAAAACATGAGATCAAGAAATACTAACTACTATGTATAAAATTTTTTTAATTTAGCTACAAAGATAAATGGTACTGCACAGGGAATATTTTATTATAACTTTAAGCAGAGTATAATGTTTTAAATAATTAAATCACTATGTTGTACACCTGAAACTATTGTAAATCAACCATGCTTAAAAAAATAAAAAGTGAATTCAATTTAAATCATAACATACATTCTGACCTAGCAGGAAAGAATAGGAAAAGAACACAAGTGTAGAAATAAATTCTTGAGCTGAGATGAAAGACAGTTCTGTTCCTGTTATGTGGGAGATGGTATAAATAATGATCCTACAGGAGTCCTTTAAATCTTAGGGTGGAAAGTGCCTGCATCCAAAATTAATTATTTCACTTGTGACATAGTTTACACATAATCTGATGAATGTAAGAGAGCAGGATGAGTTTGTAGAGATTGTGTGGTAATGGTGAAGGTTTCAAATAATCTTTTTTAAAAAACTGAAGTAGTGTGTTGATTTATCTTAGTTTCAGGAGACACACTCTTTACTGAGCATGGGAGATGAAACTGAAATGCTTGCTGTCATAAGATTTCCAGGCCTTTTATGAGAAAGAACAAGCAGAATGTCCAGATACAGTGAAACACTGTGTCCCTGGTTTCATTATTTCCGATTGGAACCAGGAACTTTAAGCTGAATGGGCCATCTGCACATCCGAAGGTTTCCACTCCAGTGTGTAAATGGACTGTGACCATTTGCAGTGCATGACGATGCGCTCATATCATGAACTGTGGTTCTCAGCACAGGGCCCAGGATAGAGGGCCCCCAGCCCACCCAGGAGAGCAGAATAGCTGCTCAGTGCAGTTGGTGTTACTGAATGAAGGTTGGGTGTTGCTCAGAGGTCGCCTTGCTCAGAACCGACCCCCTTCTCCCCTCCAGTCTTTGCTTGTTAGCTCAGTGCCAGCTGTAATCTGAGAAGTGATGGTGGTCTCGCTAAGAACAAGAAGTCCTGTGTTAAGATGTACTCAGTGGGTCTCAGGGACTGCCGGTGCTGTGCTTGCCCTTTACCTTAGTGCTGCTGGAGGGAGGTCTGGGGACCGTGTTCAGCATCCCTAATAGCCTCGCTAAAAATACAAATTCCTGGGTCCATCCACTTTGTGGAGTCTCATTTTCTTAGAGGTGAGTCCTGGATACCCAAAGGACTGCATTTCTATTAAGCCACAGGTTATCAGTGAAGGAAAGTTACACAGCTCAAAATAGCCTGGAGTTAAAACCCCTTCAGGTCCTCCCCACCATCCTATGCTAAACAAAGAACTCTCTCACCCGAAGAAAAAAAAAGGGACATTAAGGTTGATTACGTCCAGCTCCCAGCTGGCCCCAGCCTCTGGCCGATATGCAGACTTCCTTGCCCCAGCCGTTTAAGAAATAACTACTCCAAACAATCTTGGAGAAGAACAGGCCCCCTTAAGACAGTAGATCTCCACGTGTATGCCTACATACACTTACTCTTTTCTTGGGTTAGTGCATCAGCTCACTAATCTGACTGCTGCCCCTTCTTGCCTCATTAAAGGTGATCCGTTCCTGTAAAGTGCCAGTCTTGTTCTTTTTCCAAACCTCGCCTTCTCTAACTCCCTTACCCTACAATCAGGAATATGGGCTTCCCAAGTGGCAAAGTGGTAATGAATCCTCCTGCCAATACAAGAGACACAAGAGATGCGGGTTTGATCCTTAGGTCAGGAAGATCCCCTGGAGGAAGAAGTGGCAACCCATTCCAGTATTCTTGCCTGTAAATTTTTCATGGACAGAGGAGCATAGTGAGCTACAGTCCATGCGGTTGCAAAACAGTTGGACATGACCAAGCACATGAACATATCATTAGTCTAAACTTAATAAATAAAACATAAAGTCGACTGGTGACAACTTAGAAATCAAAATACCTGCACAGTATATCATATTTTGTGAATTTAGTAACATTGAAAGACATTTTAAAACAGTGCTATTGAATAACAAAATGCACTGGTTTCTATAAAACACCTCCAGAAAGACAAAACTCATCTTCTATAAAACAAAACTTTTTCCCTTCTTTCTTTTTAATTTTTTAAATGATGAAAGTATGATAACACATTTACAGGAGACTTGGAAAATACAGAACAAACTTACATCTAGTTCCACTAGATATTACAATCATTTTTATAAAACAAAACTCTTGTCTCAGGACAGGGCAACTCTTAAAAGACACAGAGCCCATAGCTCAGTCCTTTAACCAGAGTTTCCCCAAATTCAGACTAATTTCAAAGCTCTTTATTTCCAATTAAATTCCTATTCAATTAGTTTACTCAGATTACCTCATTATAAAATTTTTAAAAGTTAAAAAACCTTTCATATGCCAGTTTTATAAGTTCCACGTTATTTTCTCCTGAAACGTCCACAGTTAGAAGAGGCTGTGTTGCGTGTCTACCTCCCATGTCACTCCGGGCTCCTTCCTCTGCTTACACACAGGGAGCGGTGAATGCCCTGTGCTCGCCCCTCCTCAGCCATTTGGGGCAGAAAACCACGTCTCAGTTTATACGGGAGTTTCTGACTCCAGTCACAAAGGAGAACCAGAGCAGAGAGTCATCAAAGAAGAAAGGCCATGGGACCCAGGGAGCATGCCCTCCAGGGTCACCGAGGGTGTGAGGGCTTTGACAGAAAAGGGTGGCGTCTCCAGAGGCTGGAGGAAGGACGTTCTTCTGAACCTGGAGCCCCACCATCCATCGGTCAGTCTGGTAAAGACAATTCTAGGGGCCAGCCTGGAACAGCTGGATGGGGAGTGGGCAGCCAGCATGTCTGGGCAGTGGTCAGGGCAGTCCTCTTGTGGGGAGGCTGAGGTCAGGGCTGGTCACCTGAGCACGTGTCTCTCTGTCCACATCCGTCTGTGCTGAGCGGAGACAGACAGTCTGGTCAGCCTCCCCATGCAGCTGCTGAGTGCTTTTCTGTGGGTCTGGAAGTTGCTGGGAGTCTCTACCTGTTGAGGGACCCTGCATCCTGAATGGGGACCCAGGCAGACCCCCTCATCTGCGGCCGGGATGCAGAGATCGAAGTCCTGGCTCAGTCTTTGGGGGGCAGGGCAGGGGGCATGGCTTGGCGGTCACATCAGGATTCGTGGCTTGAACCTGCAACGTGAGGGCAGGGCTGAGGCCAAGGAGGCCTGCTTCTGTGAGCTGGGCAGGAACGGAGGGTCCTGGGCAGAGAGCAGGATGGTAGGCAGGGGACCCAGTGATGTCCCCAATGCGATGCTTGCAGGGCAGCGTCCACGTGAGAACAGGGCCTCGGACAGATGTGTCCTTGGTGTCTGGAGGGCCCCCGGGCTGCACACGCTGTAAGAAAGGACACACCACAAATGAAATACACATTAGTATTTCCTCTCAAGCAAATGGGAGACCAATCAGATGAAAAAGGCACAGAGCATATAGACATACATTTAACAGTAAAATGGTCATGTTAATATGAATAGAAAGCCCAACCCAGTGAGGAAAAGAAAATAAATTAGTCATCAATGCCATCCCCTCCAACAACTTCACAGTTGATCTCCCACCCCAAATCTCAGGAGGAAAGTTCATACTGAATTCTGTGTCCCGTGAACTGTCCAGACACAGTCCTTTCACTATTCACACCCAGAACACCAACTAGTTCCTATACATGACTCTGTGTGTGTCTGTGTGTGTGAGTGAATGAGTGTGTGCATGTGTGGTATCTATGACAGTGTGTGTCTATGTGTGTGACTGTGTGTGTCTGTGAGTGTGTTTATGTCTATGTGAGTGTGAGTGTGTATGTCTATGTGTGTGAGTGTGAGTGTGTATGTATATGTCTATGTGAGTGTGTGTGTGTGTCCATGTGAGTGTGTGTCTATGTGAGTGTGTGTGTCTGTGAGTGTGTGCCTATGTGAGTATGTGTGTCTATGTGAGTGTGTGAGTGTGTGTGTCTGTGAGTGTGTGTCTATGTGAGTGTGTGTGTGTCTATGTGAGTGTGTGTGTCTGTGAGTGTGTGCCTATGTGAGTGTGTGTGTCTATGTGTGTGTGTGTCTATGTGAGTGTGTGTGTGTATCTATGTGAGTGTGCATGCAGACGTGTACAACAGCACTTACTGCAGTGCATCCAGAGGCCTCTGCTTCTTCTTGCTACTTTTCTTGGTTTTGGCCTCCCCCTCGGAGACAAGGGTCATCGCCGACATTTATTGGCCCCTGAGGCCGGGGGTCCCTGGTTGAATTGTTGAGCTGGTTGTTTTCCTGTTCAGGAAGTTTCGTTTTCCTCCCGTTTCCATATTTCGACAGATGGATCAGGACTGCCGCTGCAGGTGGGGCCGACTCGACCTTCTGGAGGTGGAACTCAATCCAAAGTCAACTGTGTTCTTGGAGGCGCCTCCACTCCCCTAAGCTGATTTCTTGAACCTCGGTTTCCTCCAGGGGCTCCTCCGACCCAGGAGCTCCAGGGCTGGCATCCCCTGCAGGCTCGCTGTGGGCTGCATCCATGCCTGTGGGGTCAGCCCCCAGGGATCTCCTGGTGCTACCCCCATCGCCTCCTTCACTCTTCTGGATGTCAAGAGAACATAGGCGCTCTGGGCAGAGGCCACGGCACAGGGGGTAACCTTAGCATTGTCCATCTTGTACCACTAGCCGTTTCCAGCTCTCACACAACAAAAGTAATGTCCTTGGTGACAACTCCTCCCAGAGTGGACCAGCACGGCACAGAGCACATAATCCAGGGGTCCTACCTTCCACTCAGACATGTACGGTGGCACATCAAGGCACCCAGAGAGCCGCTTTAGCACGAGGATCAGGACCTTGGGGAACACGGTGCAGAGTCAACCTCTTGGTGGCCGGCACCTTCTGGAGACATACGCTACGATGATAGGCATTGCCACCATCTAGCTTCTTGGGCTTCACCAACTCTCTCAAAGCTTGGTTCACACTTGAGTTGCCATGATATCCAGTGGATGTCCAGACATGGGTCAAAAGTGTCTGAGACACCAAGACAGTGGAGACACTGGATCTGCGATCTCCAGGACCCTCCAAAGATCTGACGGATGAGGGTGCTGTCCTCAGAAGGATGGTCTAACAGCTCATGGGCACTTAGGCATGCTTGCTGCATGATGTCCAGAGTGAACATCAGAAACTTGTGGGCATCTTCCTGCTTATATCTGTGGAAGCTAGCAACCAGGTCCTTCCGGGGCCAGATAACCTCTCCAGAATGAAGGAGGGCTCGGGTGATGTGAGTTTGCATAGCACACAGCACACAGATCTGGTTGGGACAGATGGTCCATGCTGCTGGAACAGCATGAGCTGCCCAGGGCTCGTGTCATTCAGGCACTACAGCACTGCATTCATATAGCAGATGTTCCCCATGTTCGAAGCCCAGCTCCCAGCTCATGTCTCTATCAGCTCGGAAGTGGGTCCCAGATTTCACAGGTGACAAAATGCACAAGAAAATGAGATATCCTGGGTGCCTTGATGCACAGCTCTACGTGTCTGACCACTGGGCTGCCAAGGAATTCCCCAAAGATAGTTTTTTAAATGGTGAAACTGTAATATATTTAGAAAGATGAAAACTTATTGGGAATCATCCACATTCATCCCAAGTATTTGAAATTAGAAGTCAACTCAAGATGTGTGGAAAAGAACACCTGAAATGAAAGGTATGAGAAAGAAGTTGGACAGATGATTGATATTTGATGGTAGGAATTCTAGTAACATTTGTTCTTTTAAAGCACTTCTTCAGTCCTTGAACCTCACAACCCCAGGTCTGGTCCCCGGAGTCCCCAGATCTGAGCCCAAGGCTTGGTCTCTGCCTCCAGAGTGACTGGGTTATAGAAATGGAAAACATGCTCTGAGGGGTTTGGTGTGAAACCGCACCTCCCCTCAGCCTAAGTCCAGAGGTCCACAGTCCAGTTTCTGTCTAAATAAAGATTTCCAACTGCAAGCAGAGGCTCAGTCCTGGAGGCATGAAGTTTCCAGATCAAGGTGTAGTTGCTTCGTTTTCTCCTGAGGGCTCTGTTTTTAGAGTGTGACCACCATCCACCCACAGCATCCTCCAGTGGCCTGCCCCTCCTCAGACTCTGGGGTCTCTTGCTTTTCTTCTAAGGGCACCAGTCTGCTGAGATGAGAGACTCACCCTGAGGGCATGACTTTAACCTAAACACTGCTTTATCTGCCCCTTCTCCATAGACATGAAGGAAATGGCAACCCACTCCAGTGTTCTTGCCTGGAAAATTCCATGGACTGAGAGAGCTTGAGGGGCTGCAGTCCATGGGATCACAAACAGTCTCCATAGACAGCCCCATTAGGGTCTCTTCAAGGTTTATTTATTTATTTTTAATTCGGGGCCACATTTTGCAGCATGTGGTATCTTAGGTCCCCAACCAAGAATGGAACCAGCACTTCTTGCCTTGGAAGGCAATGTCTTAACCACTGGACCACGAGGGACGTCCCCCACTCTGGTCTCTTCAGTGTGAAGAGCTGAACATATGAATTTGGTAGGAGATACAATCTGGCTTCTAAAAGTTCATTCTTTTTGTGTTTTCTATGTTTTAAAAACTGGCTTATTTTTTATTGATTTTTTTTTAGTTGAAGTACCGTTGATTTACAGGATGATATTACTTTCAGGTGCAGCATTTAGTACTTCAATATTTTTAATGGATCATACTCCATATAAAATAATTATAAAATATTGGCCATATTCCCTATGCTTATGCATTATATCCCTGTTAGTTATCTATCTCACACCTGGTAGAATCAAGAATTGGAATATTTCAGGAAGCTCCTTAGGAGAAAAAGATATCTTGTGGTACAGCTGGAATCACTTTCCCAAAGAGCATCTCCTCTCAGTGTTGTATATCAATAACCACAATGTACTAGCTATGACAAACCTAGACAGCATATTAAAAGGCAGAGACATTACTTTGCCAACAAAGATCCATCTAGTCAAGGCTATGGTTTTTCCAGTAGTCATGTATGGATGTGAGAGTTGGACCATAAAGAATGCTGAGTGCCAAAGGATTGATGCTTTTCAACTGTGGTTTTGGAGAAGACTCTTGAGAGTCCCTTGGACTGCAAGGAGATCCAACCCGTCAATCCTAAAGGAAATCAGTCCTGAATATTCATTGGAAGAACTGATGCTGAAGCTGAAGCGCCAATACTTTGGCCACCGATGGCGAAGAACTGACTCCTTGGAAAAGACCCTGATGCTGGAAAAGATTGAAGGCAGGAAGAGAGGGGACGACAGAGGATGAGATGGTTGGTTGGTATCACCAACTCAATGGACATGAGTTTGAGCAAGCTCTGGGAGTTGGTGATCGACAGGGAAGCCTGGTGTACTGCAGTGCATGGGGTCCCAAACAGTCAGGCACGAATAAGCAACTGAACTAACTGACTGACAATGTACTATAATATACAGTAATGGGAATAGAGATGATTCACAACAATAACAATGAAGGCAACAATGAACATGGGGAGGGAGATGTACTCATTATATTAATGATTGATTATATTAATGATTATATTATATATATAATATATATAATATTATATTATTATATTAATGATGACCTATAGTGATCGGAGATAAGAGACAGGTTTTTACCAAGTGAGTGACAGGGTCATGACATCAGTTCTTAGGGGCAGAGGAGCTGTAGATTTAACAGGGAAATACATCTGGGGGCACAGCCTAGGAGCAGGAAGAGAAAGGAATCCACGTATATGTGAGGACAGGGCACTTAACCCCATTGCCAGCCTTATATGGAGGGGTTTCTGGGCACAGGGAGACCTGGTCCAAGACCCCACAGGACACCATCAGCTCTCCAGAGTGACGACAGCTGGCTGGCAGGGTGACTACCTCCTGGGAGGCAGGGCCCTGATCCACACCTGCCCAGCAGCACCCCTCAGTACTGACTGTCAGCTCCCTGTGCCACTCCCCCTCAGTCCAGTTCAGTTCAGTCGCTCAGTCGTGTCCGACTCTTTGGAACCCCATGGACTGCAGCACACCAGGCCTCCCTGTCCCTCACCAACTCCTGGAGTTTACCCAAACTCACTGAGTTTGGTAACCCATTGAGTCAGTGATGCCATCCAACCATCTCATCCTCTGTCATCCCCTTCTCCTCCTGCCTTCAATCTTGCCCAGCATCAGGGTCTTTTCTAATGAGTCAGTTCTTCACATCAGGTGGCCAAAGTATCAGAGTTTCAGCTTCAGCATCAGTCCTTCCAATGAACGAACACTCAGGACTGATCTCCTTTAGGATGGACTGGTTGGATCTCCTTGCAGTCCAAGGGACTCTCAAGAGTCTTCTCCAACACCACACTTCAAAAGCATCAATTCTTCGGTGCTCAGCTTTCTTCACAGTCCAACTCTCACATCCATACATGACCACTTGATAAACCATAGCCTTGACTAGATGGACCTTTGTTGGCAAAGTAATGTCTCTGCTTTTTAATATGCTATCTAGGTTGGTCAAAACTTTCCTGCTAAGGAGTAAGCGTCTTAATTTCATGGCTGCAGTCACCATATGCAATGATTCTGGAGCCCCAAAAAATTAAGTTTGCCACTGTTTCCCCATCTATTTGCCATGAAGTGATGGGATCAGATGCCATGATCTTGGTTTTCTGCATGTTGAGCTTTAAGCCAGTTCTTTTCCTCTCCTCTTTCGGCCGGCCGCATTCCTGCCATCCACCCTGGTCGAGCTCGCGTGTGTGCTTGGCCAGCGCTTGCTGGCGGCTGAGGTGAAGCCGGGTTTCCCGAGTGCGTGGATTTCTTCCTCATCTTTTCACTATATGTTTATCTTGAGATCACTCCCTATAAATACCCAGCACATGAAGCTCCATCTCCTCTGCCCTCTGGTATCCAAAACTGTGACAAAGTGATAAGATTCCAGGGAAAATCGGGCTCACAACAGAAGAAATCAACTTCTGCTCAGGATGGAAATAACATGAAAACTGATGTCATCTCATGAGTTTGTGTTTTGATCAGACAGCTTTGCTGGCAAGAATCATGTCTATGAATTAACGGGGACAAAACACAAGATTGTTTGAAGTGGGGAGAAATGCTAATAAGCTCTACCCTCAACCTGGATTAAAGAGTGTATGAGAGGGAAACCATTAGAAATAAAAGGAATCCAAATTGTTCGCTTATCTTTTTATGTTTCATTTCAAATTTCAGGTTGGGTGATGTCATAACATATTTAAG